CTTAAGTTTTTAAATTGACAGCAAAGTGTTTAAAGGTCCCTTTAAATTGCTAAAATTTGCCAACTTGTAAACAAATTAATTTTGTAATCTATACTTAAGACTTAAGAAAAAAATGCATTTATAACTTCAAACAACAGTTTTAAAACCAAAGTAAATCCCTGGACAATTTTTGTTTGGTCATAAAACCTACATTCTTGGGCATCATAAAATTCACATTTAACAAAAATAAAAAAAACCAAAATTCTGATGAAAGATTATTAAAGCTCCTGCTTGCTTTTTCTCGAGGAAGTGTTGCAGCAAGAATATGCTTTATGCATTCTGTGATGAGTAGCAAATAAGTGTCACTAATTCACATGGCATTTACAATCTCCATACCACCACCTACTGCATTTCTCCCAGGATTGCTCCTTCAAATGGCAGAGTCTCTTACTGTTGCTTCCCCAGAGCCCAGAAATTAACTTCTCACATGCTGTCTTTTTTGTTACTAGTCTATGGTGGGATTCAGATCAACTTTTCTCCCACCCGAAAAATGCTACTCCTTAGTATCCTACACTACCATATGTCGTACTAAATGTATTTGAAATCACAGATTCAGCATCAAATGTTGTAGTGTAAGTTGATTATGCATTTTCTGAAATTTTAGTGCAAAGTTATAAAGTCCTTAGTTAACAGATTAACAATTGCAGTTGCAACGATTGTATTTCCTTTACTAAAACAGACACATAAAACTGATTTTTAAGAAATGAACTGAACGTTTCTTTATTGAATTGGCCCTCAAGCAAGAAAGGATGCTCATGGCTGCTAACTTAAAGTCTATAGAGAAAGAAACATATTTTCATATCATGTATGTTTCAGATTGATACATTAAATTGCCATTTTTATAGGGAACATGGTCAAGCATAGGCAAATTTTTCAATCTAATAATTAGATAATTCCATACTTATTAGTGTCTAAACAGAAATGTGTTATAATTGTTAGGCAACGTGCTTCTTTTTTCTTTTTTGAGGTGGAGTCTCCCTCTGTCGCCCAGTCTGGAGTGCAGTGGTGCGATCTTGTTGCAACCTCCTCCTCCTGGGTTCAAATGATTCTCCTGACTCAGCCTCCTGAGTAGCTGGGATTACAGGCACCTGCCACCATGCCCAGCTAATTTTTGTATTTTTAGTAGAGATGGATTTTCACCATATTGGCTAGGCTGGTCACGAACTCTTTACCTCTGGGGAATCTGCCTGCCTCAGCCTCCCAAAGTGCTGGAATCACAGGCATAAGCCACCGTGCCCTGCTGCAACATGCTTCTTGTACAGCTTGCAGAACCACGAGCCAAACAGATCTCCTTCCTTTATAAATTACCCAATCACAGGTACTTTTTTATAGCAATACAAATGGACTAAGACAATGCATGGTTCTGGGTTAAATCCCTCCCTGTAAAGGACATTATTTGGGAAAACTTGAATAGAGTTGAGTATTGATGCTAATATTGCTACCATGTTAATTTCCTGGCTTATGAAGATACAAGAGAATGTTCTTGTTTGAAGGATATATTAAGAACTGAAATGGTGGCTGTACTCCCAGCACTTTGGGAGGCCAAGGTGGGCATATCACCTGAGGTCAGGAGTTGGAGACCAGGCTGGCCTACATGGTGAAACCCTGTCTCTACTAAAACACATACAAAAATTAGCTGGGCATGGTGGTGAGCACCTGTAATCCTAGCTACTTGGGAGGCTGAGGCAGGAGAATTGCTTGAATGCGGGAGGCGGAGGTTGCAGTGAGCCGAGATTGTGCCACTGCACTCCAGCCTGGTGACAGAGAGACTCTGTCTCAAAAACAAACAAAAAACCCCAAAACCTCCCCCCAAAAAAAAGAAAGAAAAAAGAAGCAAAAGAGTATCATGTTATCTTTGTATTCTTGAATGGTGCAGAAAAAGATATATGTGCAACTGTTCTGTAGGTTTGAGCTTGTTTAAATGGATTTTTCTAAAAATCACAATTTTGTATATTTTTCATACATAAAAATACAATTTCTGGGGCTGAAAAAAGTGGTCATATGAAAGGCTATGAATATTTTAAATCTTGACAGAAATTGCCAACTTGCCTTCCAAAAAGGTAGTGCCAATTTATATTAGCATTATGAGAATATTGGTTAGAACACATCTGACAAATATCACATTTACTAATAAATATCTACTAACAAATATCAGTGTACGTTTAAAAAAGATCTCATCTCCAAACCAAAATATAAACATACATACCCTGCACACACAGTGAGTTCACAAATCATGCTATTTTTAAATCTTTCATGGTTAATGTTGTGAAACTAACCATGTGTCCAATGTGGGATTTGAAAGCTATCTTCGTATTTAACAAGTATCAAATATAGAAATTATATCTCACATCAAAGCAATTGATTGATTTTTTAAAATTCTAATGAATTTTGTCATATACTGATCTGAAGAGCTTTTCAGTTAAAAAGTGCTGGAGAATGCTGTGATAATGTGTTTGGGAAATAGAAGCTTTTCTCATGTCTGTTCCTGAATCAGTCCTCACTATGCAGACATTGAACTTATTAGAAAAAGACTTTGGAAAAATGGACTTGTGTATGCTCAAAGAGTTAAAGGAAAATAGGGATAAAGAACAAAAAAGAAATCATTTTGTTCCTACATAAACTAGGAACAAAATGGCAATATCAATAAAAAGATAGAGATTATTAAAAAGAACTGAAGAGAAATTCTGAAAATGAAAAGTATAACTGAAATGAAACATTCACTGTAGAGGTTTGACAGCATATTTGAGCAGACGGAAGGTAAAATCAGCAAACTTGAAGATAAAACAATTGGAATTATGTAGTGTGAGGAGCAGAAAGTAAATGAAAAAAGTGAACAGAATACAGGCATACCTTGGATATATTGCAGGTTCCATTCTAGACCATCACAATAAAGCAATAAATCATTATAAAGCAAGTCACACAATATTTTTGGTTTCCCAGTGAATATAAAACCTATGTTTAGAGGGTGTGCTTCAAGATGATTGACTACAGGCATCTGGTAGTCACCTCATTCACAAAGAACCAAAAATGGCAAGTATATAATCACATTTGAATAGATCATCTAAGAGAAGACATATAATTCAACAGAGAAGTGATAGAAAACACTTAAGGCAAAGACGCAGAGGGAAGCAAAGTAGCCTGCTTAGCCACTGGAGACTGGCTGAGAACCCAGAGAAGCACCCCAATGTGAGGAAAGGGTGAGACCACCATGGTCTCCTGCAATCCTAGCATGGGAAATTTCTTCAACCCTCACAGGCCCTAAGACCAACATAGTAACTGCCTGGAAACCACATGATGGCATTGCTACAGAGAGGGAGCACACACTGAGTCTCACACACACCCTGAGTCCTAAGTATCGGCAGCACAGTGCCACTTGAGAGCCCAAACCCTACCATACTTCACCCTGCACTGGGGCTCAATAGCTCCTGCATATCCACATGCCAGGAGCCCCACTGACAGGCATGCTTGGTCCACCACTGCCACTCCTGGGGCCCACAGGCTGGCCCACCTGGAATCCCCATCTCCAGCAAAACTACCACAGTCTGCACTAACAACTGTTCTCTAAGCCACTGAGGAAATCACAGGTACCACTGAAACTGCTTACAGCTGAAGAAATTATATGGAGACTACACTACTGCATGCACACAGAATAAAAACTAAGGTGCCTTACCCGGGCCAGGAGCAGTGGCTCATGCCTGTAATCCCAGCACTTTGGGAGGTGGGTGGATCACCTGAGGTCAGGAGTTCAAGACTAGCCTCATCAACATGGCGAAACCCCATCTCTACTAAAAAGGCCAAGATTAGCCAAGTGTGGTGGTAGGTGCCTGTAATCCCAGCTACTCAGGAGGCTGAGGCAGGGAAATCGCTTGAACCTGGGTGGCGGAGGTCGCAGTGAGCCCAGATCCCACCAGCGCACTTCAGCCTGGGCAACAGAGTAAGACTCCGTCTCAAAAAAATAAAATAAATTGCCCTACCTGGCCAGGTGCAGTGGCTCATGCCTGTAATCCTAGCACTTTGGGAGGCCAAGGCAGGCAGATCACTTGAGTGCTGGAGTTCAAGACCAGCCTGGGAAACATGGTGAAACCCAGTCTTTACAAAAAATACAAAAATTAGCCAGATGGTGTATGCCTGTGGTCCCAGCTACTTGGAAGGCTTGGATTGCTTGAGCCCAGGTGGTAAAGGTAAAGGTTGCAGTCAGCTAAGCTTGTGCCCCTGCAATTCAGCTTGGGCAATAGAGTCAGATCCTGTCTTGATGATGATGATGATGATAATAATAAAGTGCCCATTAAAAGTAATGGCAAAAGCCGCAATTACTTTTGCACCAACCTAATAACTTTTTCTGTATAATGAAATGTGTTGACATTTGGAAGTTCTGTGAAACTCGGTGAACCAATATTTTTCAACTGGCCAATGCATGATGTTACGAAATCATGTGTGATAAAAGAATCCATTCAAAGTGCAATGTAGACCAACGTATTTTATGTAATAGAGTAGAAAAAGTTCTCCTATATGGTTTCAGATTGTACACTAACAAAAGTATCCCTTGTTTGACTTGTATCTTTACATACTTTAACAAAAACAACATATGCAACAGATTATAGAAGCAAATATGAGAATTCAGCTTTCTAGTAAGTCAGAAAAGAAACAAAAACAAAGCCACTCCTTAATAAATTTTTTCTTTTGTAAAATATATTTAATTTTCATTAAAATATTATTTATGTTAACATGTAATGGCAATTTTACGAATCCTTGTGTTATTAACGTGTAAAGCAAAATAGTATTTTTACCATTTCAGTAACGCAGGGAGTAGAACACTTGTAACCTAATTTACAACCCTCTCACCGTTGAGCCATTGGTGTCAAGTATTTTAATTCTTTTTATTGTTTGAAACCTGCAAGTGCTTCCGGGTCACCTTAGCACGCCCCCTCCCGCTGGCCCTTGAGCAGAACCCTGCAGCGTGGGAGTAACTCCTCGCAGAGGCCTCTGGGAGTTATAGTTTTCGCCTTGGACTCTCAATGACGCAATTCCTGTGCGACACCTTACCGGCTTCCATTGCTCGGCGCCGGCGGTGAGAGCCTTGTTCCGCGGATGGCGTTCGTCACCCATTGTGGTCACCCGGTCACCTGAGACTGGAGTGGCCGCGAGCCCTCTGGCTGCTATCCTGCTGCCCATTCAGGGTTTGGAGGAGCCGGAGGTGCGGAATTCCTCCAGTTTCAACGCGGCGGGACGGGACAGAACTCATCTCTCCTGCTTCAGACCTGGGACGGTGGCGTGACCCTAATCTGTGTGTTGGTGGCGGGTGGAGATTTTGAATCCCGTAGCTGTGGGAGGGAAGGAGTCTCGGCTCCAAGGATGGCAGGCAGCCCTGGTGCCTCGGACCCTCCCGCTCTGGGTTTGGGGACGCCTTCTTCACCGTGCTGTCTCTCCTAGCCTCCCTCGCGTCCTGTCACCTCCTGCCACACGAAACTGACCCCAGGGATGGCCACAAGGGTCCGGACAGCTTCTATCTGGGTGAGTAGGAGTTTTCTCTCATTCTTGAAAAGCTCTCCCTGAATGCCAGCGTGTACCCACATTATCTCTTCCGGAGTCTGAATTTGCCCGGAGCTTTCTCGTTCTGCCGCTGTTCTAGGTAGCTGGATTCGTTTAGAGCATGTTAGGCTTTCCAGAAATGCTTCTTGTCATCAGACTTCCTGTTTTCCTCCTTTCATCAGTCTCTTTTTTTGACAACTTTGTACCCTGAACTTTGAGTTAAACAAGGGGTACTCACACATCTTTTAGTTTTTTCAGTCTGCATTTACTGTGTGTCTCCTGTGTCTGGGATCTTTGAATCTTATTTTGGAAATTACATTTTTATTCACTTGCTCAACATCTTTGTTTATTGTATTTTGTTTGCTAGACCCTGGGACAGGTGCTAAAAATGCAAAGATAGGTTGCTCATCATCCCTGTCTTGAAGAACAGTGGTCTGTTTGGGATGGTGGACAAGAAAAACACAATGACAAGTTAATGCATGCCCTGGAAGCAGGCTGTGGAAGTATACGGGGGCATACAGAAATGGGTCAGTTTTGGAAGTAAGGATACCCCCTAACTTCCAAATGCTTCAATGATTAAGAGATTCTTAAACTTAGGTTTGAAAGATGACAAACCTAAAGTAGGCAAAGGATGAAAACCAGCCTAGGAAAAAGAAGTAACGTGTGCACATTTGAGAGGCTTGAATTGATCTCACAGTGAACTTTGGGCACTTTAGGGTTGCTGAAATGGAGAGTTTAATGCTGATAGTAGAGGTGTATATTAAAAAACGAGGCTAGAGCCATAAGCCTAAGATCATCGAGGGCTTTGAGGACCCCATTAGAAACCTGGATTTTATCATATAGGGCAGGCAGTCCCCAACCCCCTGGCTTCAGACTGGTACCGGTCTGTGGCCTGTTAGGAACTGGACTGCATGGCAGGAGGTGAGTGGCAGGTTAGTGAGCATTACTGCCTGAGCTCTGCCTCCTATCAGAGGCTGCATTAGATTCTCATCGCAAAAACCCTATTGTGAACTGTGCATGTGAAAGATCTAGGTTGTGTCCTCCTTCTGGGACTCTGACTAATGCCTGATGATCTGAGGTGGAACAATTTTATCCAGAAGCCATTGCCGCCCCCCCCTCACCCGGCAACTCCTTGTCCATGGAAAAATTGTCTTCCACAAAACTGGTCCCTGGTTGGAGACCACTGATACAGGGGAAGGAGTCTACTTATTGAAGTGTTTTCACAAAGGATTTGGGGGTAGAACAATCTACAGTCTGTAGCAGGTAAGAGAATACAAGAGTTTAAGTAAATTAGTGGTTTTGAGAAAGGAGAGGAGGCGCCAGATGCAGTGGCTCATGCCTGTAATCCTAGCACTTTGGGAGGCCGAGGCAGGCTGAACATCTGAGGTCAGGAGTTTGAGACCAGCCTGGCCAACATGGCAAAACCCTTTCTCTACTAAAAATACAAAAATTACCGGGGTGTGGTGGCGCATGCCTGTAATTGCAGCTACTTGGGAGGCTGAGACAGGAGAATCACTTGAACTCTGGAGGCGGAGGTTGCAGTGAGCCGGGATTGTGCCACTGCACTCCAGCCTGGGCAACAGAGCAAGACTCCATCTCGGGGAGAAACAAAGGAGAAAGGAGAGGAGGAGGTAAAGAGGCAGAAGCATAACTACTTGGGTGCAGTGATAAGAGAGAGGCAGAAAAGCCAGGGATGACAACTGGAGTTCTGCTCTTAGGGCCTGGGTTGGGAGTGTCACCATTTGCTGAGTAAGGGAAGACTATCAGAACTGTGTTTGGTAGAGGTGGGTAGATTTCAGTTTTATATAAATTGTATCCTCTAGGTAGAGGTTGCTAGTGGGGAAATGGGCAGGCATGTTTCTCAAGAAAAAGATCTGGATAGGGTTGCACAAATTAGATGTGGCCAAAGTAGCTCAGGGAGAATGTGTACCGCAAGAAGAGAACTGAGGACAGAGGTCAGGGAAATGACAAGAGAAGCAGGGGAAGAGGTGTTGGAGACGGAGATGGAACCCAAGAACAGTGAGAGAAAATAGGGGAGAGACAAGTAATTCACAGTTAAGGAAACAAATGCTCGTCAAGTGACGTGTGAGGGAGATCAAGTAACACTAGATCGTGGTCTTAGTACTGCTGTAATAAAGTGTCACAGACTGGGTAACTCAGAACAGATACTACTTTCTTACAATCAAGGTGCTGGCAGATTTGGTATCTGATGAGGGCTGCTCTCTGCTTTCAAGGTAGCACTTTCTTGCTGTATCCTTATGTGGTGCAAGGGAGAAAAAAGGGAAGAATGCTGTGTCCTCACATGGCCAAAGAGATGGAAGGGCCAGGCAGCTCTCTGAAACTTCTTTTAAGAGGATATTAATCCCATTTGTGAAGGAAAGCCCTCATGACTTATTCACTATTTAAAGACCCACCTCTTTTTTTTTTTTTTTTTTTTATTTGAGTCTCATGGTGTCGCTCAGGCTGGAGTGCAGCTAGGATTACAGTTGCACACCACCACGCCCAGCCAATTGGACCCACCTCTTAATACCACCACAATGGGGGTTAAGTTTCAATATGAATTTTGGACAGATGCAACCATTCAAACAATAGCAGTCATAAAAACCTAAATTGAATTTAGTAGTGATGGGCCAGGCATGGTGGCTCATGCCTGTAATCCCAACACTTTGGGAGGCTGAGTTGGGTGGATCCCCTGAGGTCAGGAGTTTGAGACCAGCCTGGGCAACATGGCAAAATCCTCCCTGGAAAATACAAAAACTAGCTAGGCATGTTGGTGGGCCCCTGTAATCCCAGCTACATGGGAGGCTGAGGCAGGAGAATCGCTTGAACCCAGTGAGCTGAGATCGCACCACTGTGCTCCAGCCTGGGTGACAGAGTGAGAATCTGGCTCAAAAAAAAAAAAAAAAGAATTTAGTGGTAATGGTAGTGGTGACTGTTGCTAGCAATCTTTCTACAGCAGAGTATGAATATATATGTGTGATAGGTAAGGGAGAAAGGTGAAGGGCTGGGATGGTGAGACCAGCAGTTGACAGCAGAAATGGGAATGAGGCAGTAGAAACAGTAGTATAGAGTTAAGCAAGGTGCTCTATTGTAATGGGAAGAGAATGGCAGTTTGAGGAAAATCCAGTAAGGTACCTTCATACAAAATCAATCTAAAAATCAATAGGCTTTTAATTTATAAGTAGTATCTATAAGTAAATTTTTCCATTTACAGTGGTGATATAGGAAATACAGAGGACTTATATAAAGAGAGTTTTCCAACTTCATTAATACTAGTCAGCATTTATAGAGTGCTGCTTATATTCCAGCCACATGTCTAAGCACTTTATAGATACTAACTTTAATCCTTACAGCAGCCTCATGAAGAAGGCACTGATGTTAAGCCCTACTTTGCAAATGAGGAAGTCATGACAGAAGTGATTTGCCAATATCACACAGCACATAAGTAGCAGAAGAAAGACAGAATTAAATCCAAGACAACCAGGCTCCAAACTCTTGAGTTCTTAATACTGCAGTATATACCCTCTCAAGATAAAGATCACCCTAATAAATACAAATCATACCCCTTGGTTTTTGAAGTATTCATTTATTTATTCATTCGTCTGATGATTAATTTAGCACCTACTATGTGCTAGGCTTCCTTCTGGGTGCCAGCTTGTGATGGTAAATGAGACCGATGGAATCCATGCTCTTGGAAGGGAGACAGATGCCAAATAAATGTTGAAGAAACTACTCACAAGTAAAAAGAAAACATCAGAGTTTTGTAACAGAATTAAAGTTGGTTAATGTGAAAGAATGAGTGAGGGCTACTTATAGCTTGGGTGCTCAGGGAAGGCCCCCACTAAGAAAGTGACATCTGAGCTAAGTCTGAGTTACAGTAGCAAGCCAGCCTTGGGAAGAACAGGTAGAAAAGCATCCAGGATGGGAACAGCCAGGGCCAAGGCCATGAGGCAGGAGAAGTTTGGTGCCTTTGTAACCTGGAAGGAAGCCCTTTGTGGCTGGGCGTAGGGAGTGAGAGAGAGGAGAGCAGATGAACATAGATGGCCAGAGGCCACATCAGGCTAGGAAACCATGGGGTTGGGGAGTGGATGTGGTGCTGAGAAGGGGAGCAACATGATCTGTTTAGGATTTCCAAAGACCCTTCTGAGTGCTGAGTAGAGAACAGGTTGTAGGTGGGCAAGGGTAGACACAGGAAGAGCTGGGAAACGAGACTGATTAGATCACTGCAGTGCTTCAGACAAGAGATAGCAAGGATTTTGTCTATGGTGGTAGAAATGGAGACTGGTCAGAGTTGAGGGATGTTTGAAGGTAGAGTCCTCTTTTCTTTTTTTTTCTTTTTTAAAATTCTGTCTTGATTGAGTTATAAGAGTTCTCTTTTCTAAGAAACAGTATATGCTTTTCATCTTACTGATTGTCATTTTGTAGCATGGTTGATTTTCATTACGTATTCCTGGGGTTTTTGTTTTGTTTTGCTTTCTTTTGCCATTTCTTTCCTTTTTTTTTTCTTTTAATTGCATTTTAGGTTTTGGGGTACATGTGAAGAACATGTAAGATTGTTGCATAGGTACCCACATGAAAGTGTGATTTGCTGCCTTCCTTGCTCAGTGTCTACTATGTATGAGGTTCTGTGCTGAATCTTTTATTAGGTATTACTACCTTAAACCCTCACAGTAGCCCCAGGTGGTGAATCCTGTTATTCCCCTTTGATGGGTAAGGATGCTGAGGCCCAGAAATGGGTAGTTGAAAGCCCAGGTGGCACCCCTGGTGAATGTAGAGCCAGGACTTGAACCCAGACAGTCTGGCTCTACATGCATTTTTCTGGCCTGTGCACTGTATTTAGTCTCTGTATGTAGGTTGAGGATTTCTCAAGAGTCAGAGATTCTATGATCCTAGACCCTGAAATGTAGAGTGAAATGTAGAGTGGGTAGAGTGTGACAATGTACAGAGAGACAGCTCCGAGAGAGAAGCTGTTGGTCTCCAGGGAATTATCTAAATGTCCATTAACAGATGAATGATGAAACATGATGGAATACTATTCAGCAACAAAAGGAACAAACTATCGATACATGCTATGACAAGCATAAATCTTGAAAGCATTATGTGAAGTGAAAAAAGCCAGCCACAAAAGACTAGATATCATATGATCCCATTTATATGGGAAACACATGCATATACATATACTTGCAATCCCCCTTCTTTTTTTACACAAAAGCTAGCTTTCTGTGTGTACCATTTTTCCCTTGTCTTTATCACTAATAGCATATATTGATCATTATATTGTACCAATACTGGTATGTAGAGATTGTTGGCTACCTTTATAGTGGCTGTGTAGATGTCCCGTAGTGTTTTCAACCAGTTCAATAGTCATAGATATTTGGGTTATTAAAATGCCTCTGTGAACAGACTTTTCATAAGTCATTTCATTTATTATTTCTTTT